GAAAAGTAGAATTTTTACTTTTCCTTTTTGAAAAATTTGTAACGAATCTTACTGTTTTATAAAGTAAGACTTGATAGGATAGCTTTTTACTGTTTTCTTTTTGGCGTTTTAAAAAAGCAAAGATTCCTTGCTTTTGAAAAACGCCTTTTTTCTCTTTTCTCTCCTATATAAGGAGATCATTTCTTCATTTGTAAAGACACGGGAAAAAAATATACAATACAAGCTTTTGTCCCTCAAAAAACATGTTTTAATTTTCTCCCTTTCCCGAAAGGAAAATTCTTAATTGTTCTTATTCTTAGATATTATGACATCCCACAAAAATATGTTGTTAAACTACTGATGGATCATTTCAGTAGGTCTGTTTTATAGTTCTAAGATGTGGTGCTAATAATTAATATTAGTTCCAGATCTTTTAAGAACTATTTTTGTTTATAAATTTTTATGATTTTGTAAAGAGTTTTATGCTTCATGCTGAGTATATGATAAGAGCATATCTTAACTCTTTCATATATCTCAGATGGCATGTTTTAATTAAAAAAAAAAGGATATTATTTTATCAAAAGATAAAGATATCACAATTAAGAAAAGTACTGAGTAGGATTTTCATAACAACAGCATTCAACCTCTTACCGACCACTAACCAGCTGGTTAGACCAGTAACCCATGACCGAATACCTTGTTCGAGTTTGATGTTCGGATCGAGTCTAATAATTATGATTTTATTATAAGAATCTTGGATTCTTTCAAAAAGTGAAGAATGATTAGAATAAATAAACTCAAATGCCAATCAAACTACGGTAGAAATGTAAGCTCAAACCGTACACGATCCACTGCATTTCTATTTGCTTTTATTACTCAGTTTGATTAGGCTTCATGATTTATAGCTAGAATTTACTTGCAATTAAAATGCACATTAGTGGTCTTGATGTTGCTATTTGGTAATCTTGATTGCATTGGCCTTTGAATGGCTAACTAAAACGAATGATTTAATGCATTAAAAATCCCTTGAGTTGATTGAGAGGTCTAATTGTCTATTTGGGGTTACTAACATATGGGATAGCATAAAATGATGCTTCTATTTTATTCTCAATGCGAAGGCATGTCCATGTGTTTGTTTTCAGTTTTGGATTCAGTGTTTTTAAATAGTTAGTGAAGAGAAACATATGTTGACTGCATGATGGTTATTTGTTCAGAACTTTAAGAACAATAACAACGGATACTAGGCATGGAATGGTTTTTTCCTACATCAGATTGGGAAAATATGGCTGTTGAACTCATTTTGGTGGATTCTGTTCGTGATGTGTATATTATCTGGAAGAGATGAAAATGTGAAATCCAAACAATGGTAGGCCGTTTAGCTGTAAAAATTATGAACGCTTTGAAACATAGTCTAATCCTTGGTCAAGAATAATGGCTAAGTTGTTAAGGATTAATCTCATTATATTATATTGTGGTTTAGGAATTTAATTCCGCTTATACTTGATTACCAGCAAAGTTTTCTCTATTAGTTATATGCAAAAAAATATATATTTTGATCTCCATAGATCAAACCCTTGAATTAAATAATAATTAGATTGATCGTCAGTCAATGGGAAGGAAACACTTTTGTCAGGTCAGGTCTACCTCAGTTTCAAGTTGAATCAATCGATTTAAATAATAGGATTGACAAAGCTCCCATAGGGTGTTATAGTCTATGACAACAAGAAACAGATATTCGGTGGTTGTCTTTGAATGAATATGATAAACAAAGGTGATTAATATTTCATTGTGCGATTTATCTTCTAGAAGATTAAAAAATTGAAAATTTCTTGCTTCCATCCACACAAATTACGTCATTGCTAAACTTTGTCGACATAGTTCCATTTCAGAACTCTTTGCTATGGTTGAGTGGCTGATCCTGGTCTGAATATTTGTCATGTCTTTGGTTGTAATATGCTAAAGGCTTCTGTCAAAGAATTTACGTTCACTAGTCACGGGTACATAATTTGTGATAAGAGTGGCAAGGTTGAAACTCAAATGCTGGTGACGTCGCTTATAAACTTTGTTGGAAAAGGGAACAAATTTAATCACATCCTTCGTAAACTGAATATGTTACTTCTCCTGGTTTCATTTATTGTGTTTTTACATCTTCAAGCATGAGCATCATTAGCCAGTGACTCGTGGATTATTTCATTGATATTTTTCTCAAAATTTTGTTTAGTTTATCTAAAAAAAGAGATATTCGCTTGGAGACAGTCTGTCTGCCAGCCTTATAATGATCTCTACTTTTCTTTGTACAAGGAAATTGTAAAATCTTAAATAGACTTAGTAATTAATAACTTGAAATTCTATTAAAATACTCATTTGATTGATCTGTGGGGAAGCAGAAGGCTAATTTTGTATCATCCTTTTGTAGTCACTATATGTGGTCATATTTGGTTGTCTTTAATTCGTCTCACTGGGTTGTTGGGAATGTTGGTTGTCCTCTTCTGTGGTCCCTTGAGAAGCTATCCTGCTAGTTATATGCATTTATTAGTATATGTATCTCGGCCCTTTCTTCTTAACTTATTTACCTTAGTTTTGCTTCTTGTAATCTGTACTGCTGATGTTTTTAGAAATAATTGAAATCAAAGAATTATGTGTTCCTTTCAGATTTTAACGTGTTCTTGACATGGAAATAGTTTGTTCATCGACTCTTGGATCAAATATCTTATATTACAAAGGATCAAAGAACAGTATCCCACACAGCCTACTATCGTAACTTTCTGTGATGTCTCCAACTTTTAAATAAACGGTCCAGATAAATTGAATTTAACATTGGTTGTTTAAAATTCACTAGTGTTAATGTTATTCTGTGATAGCAGATATTCAATGAATTCTTGCATCAAGAGTATGGGGGACCTGGGACACTATTGATAGAGCCTTTTACAGATATGATGATTACGCTTAAGGAGAAAAAACTCCCCGGAGCACCATTGGCTGCTCGAACTTCCTTGTTATGGGCTCAAAATTACGTTGATCGGGACTGGGAGAGTTGGATCTCTAAATCACGCAAATTATAGCCGCCTCTTATTCTATATCTCCAGTATCTTCTTTGCTTAAATCTGTCAATGACTCGAGGAAACAATGGTGGCTGGTTGCTATTTCATGTGAAAATACTGTAGTCGAGAATTTTATTTAGAAATTCTATTTTTTCCCATACAAAGGTGTTATAAGTTGTCACTCAGCATATATTAAGTTCTAGACTCGTAATGACGGTGTTGTAGAATGTCGATAATCTTCTGTGGTTTTACTATATCTCGAGGCGCGAAAATCCTCTTAATGAATAGAATGTGACGACTCGGAAATGCTATGTACAGATGGACGCCAGGATTTGGGCCGTCCTGTGAAATTCGTTGTTCCTGATGGCCTTGGCTGATGTCTGTCATGTCTCTTGGCCTGAAATTGTCAATTTATTCATAAGTAACCTCAAGAAGATAATAAAAAATCCTTCTCAGAATGTATGAATTGCATTATGGCATTTTTTTCCTCTCAATTTTGGAAACTAATTCTCATTTTTCATTGTCCCTTTTTTCGTTGTTTAGTAATCTACTGCTTTCTTTGTACAAGTCACCATACTCTCTTCATTATATTTCTTGCATCTATAAAGCTATGCAAAAGAGAATCAAAACTTGGTAGCATGGAAGACATCACTTCGCAATTTCATGACCAGGTTTAATAAGAAAAGACTTCAGATTCCCGATCTAAATATCACAGCCGCAGTCTCTGCTTTAACATATACTATATGGTATGAAGCATTTCAGATGTCTCTATAAAAGACCCTTCACAAGTCCGTGATCGACCTACTTACCCGAACTGAGAAATATTTTAACATGGAAGAAACCATGTTTCCAATGCGAGATACTCCGTCATCATGTAAGCCCGTGTTGAAAAGGCCGCATGAGTCTAACCTACGTTAGGATCCTTCTCAGGGTAAGATAAACATCCTTTACTCGCTTCTAACACCACGAGGTCTAACACACGATCGAAGATTGCTTCGCTCTGAAACTTGAAATTGAAGCTCTCATTAAGAGGGGTTTTCTGGATGCTTATGTCAGCCATGACAAGCGTTTGAGGAACAATCAGAATAAGGCTCCTGAAGATCGGGAAAATAAGCAACCAAGAGCATATACCATTAATATGATCTTCAGAGAGACGACCTCGAGAGGGTACTCGAGCAGCAGGCATAAACAATATGCTAGATAGTATCCATCAATTTCAAGCACAAATCTTGGTAGTATGGAAGATATCACTTTCAGATCAAAGGACTTAGAAGGCATATCTTTTCCTCATGATGATGTTTTCGTCATATCGATGATCATTGCCAATTTTGAGGTAAAAAGAATTTTGGTGGATAATGGAAGTACAACTAATGTATTATCCCACGAGACTTTCATTCAGATGGGTATTTCAGCTGAACAAATCAAGCTGGTTAAAACTTCCTTCAAGGGTTCAGTGGTGGAATCATCATTCCAAAAGGCATTGTTGGGTTACCTCTCACTTTAAGATTAGAAGAAAAATAGGTAACACAGATCACAACCTTCCAGGTAGTCTGTACTCCAATAGCCTACAACGCCATACTTGAAAGACCGCTACTAAATAAGGTAAAAGATATTGTTTCAATTTTTCACCTAGCAATGAAATTTCCTATAAGTAATGGAGTTGGGGTAGTTCGAGAAAGTCAAACATTGGTTAGACAATGTTATGTTACCAGCATTTGGGAAATCAAAGCCGACGTCGTGCAACTTTTCGAGCTCGGGCTTGATCTTGAGTATCGTGGGAGACTTGCCCCAGTGGAAGAATTAGAGGAGGTCAGCTGGATCTTGATGCTACAACCATGGCTGAAGTTATCAGTTGTCTCTCTCGCAATATCGTCGCATTTGCTTGGAAAGATGAAAGACCTATCAAACAAATGAAGAGACAGTTTGCGCTAGAATGGCGGGAGGTCATACAGGAAGAAATTGCTAAGCTCATTAATGCACATTTCATTCGAAAAGTTCAGTATCCCAATTGGCTCGCCAATGTCATTCTTGTCAAGAAAGCCAGCAGAAAGTGGCGAGTTTGCATTGACTTTACTGACTTAAGTAAAGCATGTCCTAAAGACATCTATCATCTACCTCGAATTGATAATCTTGTTGACAGCATGTCAAGTCATAAATTATACAGTTTCTTAGTTGCTTTCTATGGATATCGCCAAATTTTCATGGCTGAAGAAAATCAAGAAAAGACATCGTTTATGGATGATTCAGCCATATACTGTTACAAGATCATGCCTTTTGGATTGAAAAACACAGGAGTAACATATCAAAGACTTATCAGTAAGGTCTTTGCTAACTTGATAAGGAAGAACGTTGAGGCATATGTGAACGACATGGTTGTTAAAAGCAAGCAAGTAAATTGTCATATTTCTGATCTTGAAGAGGTCTTCACTACACTATGGATATACAAGATGAAATTTAATCCTATGAAATGTGCATTTGGAGTGGCATCAAGTAAGTTCTTACGTTATATGATTACACACAAAGCTAATCCTGGCAAGATCCAGACCTTGATATCTATGGAACTCCCTAAATACAAAAGGGACATCAAAAAATTAACAGGTCGGGTTGCAGCTTTGAACAGATTTGTATCTCGAGCAGTAGACAGGTGCTCCCCCTTCTTCAAAGTTCTTAGTGGCAACCAAAGCTTTGATTGGAATGAAGAATGTAATTCAGCTTTCCAATAGCTTAAACGAACATTAGCAACACCTCTAGTTCTCACAACCTAGAACTATGTGATACCTTGCTGTTATATTTGCTCATTTCTGAAAACACGGTAAGTGGGGTATTGGTAAAGGAAAGTGGAGAGGTCCACTGACCCATCTATTATGTAAGGTACCTCTTGATGCAGAAACTCGGTATACATTAGCTGACCAACTTGCCTTTGCCTTGGTCATTGCTGCCTGAAAGCTACGACAATATTTCAATATCATCCAATTGTTATACTCACTGTTCGACCACTCATGCATATACTTTAAAACTCAGATAACTCGGGGAGATTACTGAAATGGGCGATTGAACTTGGTGAATTTGATATAGAGTTCAAGTCGCGACAAGCAATTAAGGTGCAGACCTTGGCCGACTTTATATCAGAACTCATCCCAATGCCTCAAGGGCCAGAGGATAATGACCCAAGCAAGACCTTGGAAATTAGGGAAATATTCATAGATGGAGCATCAAACAGTTTGGGCTCGGGAGCTGGAGTCATCATCGCTAAACCGAACAAAACTACAGAAATCCAATATGCACCCAGGTTCGAATTCGAAGCCACTAATAATAAATCAGAGTATGAAGCTGTTATCATAGCTCTAGAACTTGCATACAACCTTGAGTTTAAACGTATCAAAGTTTTCAACGACTTACAGCTAGTGGTTGGACAAATTAAGGTGCATGATCTTCAAAGACGATTCAAGAATTGTGAAATTCTGAAAATTGCTTGAATTGATAGTTGCAAGGCCGATGCATTATTTAGGCCTATCTTTATGAAGATAGATGGGCTCGACAGAACGGTACACGTCAAGATAGTGATAGAACTTAGCATAAATCAGAAGCTAAGCATCATCGACATTGACCAGGAGCCCTCTTGGATGGACCCGATAATTGAATTCACAAGTAACGTGAATCTACCATCTGACCCCAGAGCTGCAAGGAGCATTAGGTCTCAAGCACCAAGATACTGTATTATCGGAAGAGTCTTATTTCGAAGAAGTATTACACTTCCCTGCCTCAGATGTCTGAGACCTTCCGAATCACTCCAAGCCTTGACTGAGGTCCACGAGGGTGTGTGTAGGAATCATCAAGGAGCTCAAACTCTTGCCTACAATCTTATAAGATATGGATATTATTGGCCCAGCATGAAGAAAGATGCATCAGATTACGTAAGGAGGTGTGATAAGTACCAGAGATTTGACAATGTCATACATACTCCAGCCGAAGAGCTAAGCTCCATCCATTACTCAACTCCTTTCCAGCTATGGAGAGTTGACAATCTCGGACCTTTTCCTTTGGCAATAGGACAACTGAAATTTGTTGCGATAGTAGTAGAATACTTCACCATGTGGGTAGAAGTTAAGCCCCTAGCAATAATCTCAGAACCTAAGCTCAGGCCATTCATATGGAAATCCATTGTGTGTAGGATTTGAATACCAAATGTGCTCATAACAGATAATGGAAGGCAATTTGATAATTTACAATTCAGAAATTTTTGTGCTAACTTTGGGATTGACCATCGCCTGACCTCAGTCTTACACCCTCTAAGCAATGGCCTCGTCGAAATAACTAATCGAATCATACCACAAGATCTTCGAACAAGGATTGGAGATGCTAGAGGTAGTTGGCCTGAAGAGTTGCCCTCCATACTTTGGGCATACTGGACTTCCCATAAGACAGCAACTGGTGAGACCCCCTTCATGTTAGCTTTCAGCTTGGAGGCTACAATTCCAATTGAAGTCAAATTTCCTACATTAAATAGACTCGAGCCCAATCCCGAAGGTCAAACAACCGAACACCTCGACTTACTTGAAGAAGTACGAGAAGAGGCTTCACTAAGAAATGTGAGAACAAGCTTCACTAAGAGCTACAAATTATCAAAACAAAATATCAAGGCACTTCACCAACGTTGGAAATTTAGTCCTTAGAAGGACAGAAGCTGCTGGCCATTCCCGAGGGAAGCTTGGACCAGTATGGGAAGGACATTTTGAAGTCAAACGGAGAGTAAAAGGCGAAGCATACAGCCTAAGGGACATCTCGAAAAAACCACTCCCAAGGCTTTGGAACGCTGACAACCTAGAGATTTATTACAGGCGGCGGCCATGCCCCCCGGTATTTAGATTACTTAGTTTTCGTTTACTTCGGATTAGGTTGGGCTTATATGCCCTTGAATAATTTATTCTTTTTTATTTTTGCTCGTGCTTGCATGCCCTCAAACATTTACATTATTTTATAGGAGTTTGCTTTGACAATAAAAACTTGTCCAAATACATCCA